TGTAAACAGATAGCGCTTTATCTGTATTGTTTTGCTTCCGGGGAAGCAGAGACACTTTGAGGTTTCGGTGAATTATTCTCTCTTTCTCTCTCTCTCTCCTAAATATTTTTCTCTTCTTGCCCTAATCCCATTATGTGGCGTCGATGCAGCGTGTCATTTTTTTTCCATTCAGGCCTATCATAGATCATCTCCATACTCATACCCTTCTCCGGATATCTTCTTTCACAAACTCCATCCAAGTCTTTTTTGGATGCCCCGTCCCAAATTACCGTCTACTTTCTTACCCAGAGACTTTATGGCCACCTGATCATCCTTTCTTCGTATAGCATGCCCATACCGTTAAAACCCTCAACTCTTTATTTTCTCCGTCACTAGCGCTGCTTTCGATTTTTCCCTATACTCATTCCCATGAGTATATTATTCACATTAATTTAAATGAATATTTTTAATAATAAAAATTTTCGGCACCTATGTGCGATGCATACAGTATGCGAAATAAAATTAGGTCTATTTATTTTTATTTGAGAAACTAATAAATAGTACAATAGATCCACATATTATATTAAAGATAGGCAAACAAACACAAAAAAATCCACCATTANCCCTATACTCATTCCCATGAGTATATTATTCACATTAATTTAAATGAATATTTTTAATAATAAAAATTTTCGGCACCTATGTGCGATGCATACAGTATGCGAAATAAAATTAGGTCTATTTATTTTTATTTGAGAAACTAATAAATAGTACAATAGATCCACATATTATATTAAAGATAGGCAAACAAACACAAAAAAATCCACCATTAACAACGAATGATTGAATGAACTAAAATGGCTGAAATTAATAACTTAAAATTTTAAATAGGAAATTAAAACAATATAAAATTTATATTAATACTAGACCTAAATCATCGTACGAAAAATTCAAAAATAGCATCTCTATAATTATCAAGTCATAATATACAGTAAAAGATGTCCACATTAATGGAGTTTGTATCATGTACCCAAATTTTTTTTTCCCCTACCTATTCTAGTAACTTCGAGGGGTTATTCTAGATTCAGTGAACTAGTAGTAGGTGAGCTCGCGGGGCTCAAACCTGACGTTGTTGCTAACACGAACCCTAGAAGAGCCGTGCTTCGCAGAATCTACCACGGGATCGGAATGCGACCCACTGAGAAGATCCGGCGAATAACTCAGTGGGCTGTGTCTGTGGGTTAATTTACTCGCCGAGCCCTTCATCGCAAGTGACGGGTTCGACGAGAATGATGACTGGTTACCCAAACACTTTTTATGGGGTTATTCTTGATTCACCGAGCTAGTAGATGAGCTCACGGGGCTCACTAGCCCTAGCAAGAGCAGTGCTTCGCAGAAAACCCAACATGATACACGGAAAAATGTATGAATGTATATCGACGCTTGAAAGGCAAAGGACTAATTTAAAGTTGAAATACCTGAAAAAAATATATTTTAACGAATCTAGCTTTAGTAGAATCTAGCTAGTAGCTGTAGGATTGCAATTATTTTAATAGACCCAGAAATATATATATTTTTTTGCGCATCGAATATGGTTTATTTATGCGTATCATTTATGTACAGAGCAGTTATTGTCGCTTAGTCACGTTCGCCTTTCAAGCATCGATATTAAGTATATTGTATATAATGTATAATGTGGTGTAAAATGTATTTATATAGCGTTAAAACATAATTCAGTCTGCCGATCTGTCTCGTACGTTTTTTGAAACACATTCTGATCTTACGTTTCTCGTCACCTGAACTATAAAGGTTTTCTATGCGATCATAAATAAACGAACATTAGTAAACCTATTAGTAATAATAATAAACTTTAACTTTCAAAACACAGTAGGCTAACACCCTAAAGCTTAGAAATGCTTTTTTAACCGCCGATTCTACGATACGATTTATCGTGTGACCTAAAATAAAATCGGTCGTAAACGTGTCAGTGTTTGTATTCTAAAAGATTTGCATCATTGGAGCTCAAAGTTAGTTTTAGATTTAATAAATTTGACGCTTAAGAATAAAAAACACACATTTTAAAGTTTTCTTCAAAAATATCGTTAAAGATATATGTATAACAATACCCCTTTTTAAAGAAAATCGATTGTCTATATAGTCGGTTTACTGACGATAGTTGAACGTAACAACGTCATAAGAAAATACTGATGGAATGGTTTTTTACTCGTCATGAAATAGTTCTGTTAGCTTATTGTTATAGTTTTGTCAATTATAGCATAACCTACAATCGCTGCACTAGCGGACCGATGCTATTTATTTTAATGATGAAAGCACGAATATTCGACAATATATCACTGAACATATATTTCATATCGAAAGAATCATTACCTTTATCGCCGCAATTATCGTTGCTATAAACAATTGACGAGCGTTACCATGCGGCGTTACCTCAGAGCGAGGTAACGCCGCATGAGTCATGTTTTTTTCGTGTGTGCAGCCGGCTCCACCGAATTATAAGACGTTGTCACGTCAAAAAATTTTATGACGCTTATATCGAATTATGCAAATTAAACATACCATTATATCAACGCCTAGTTAAGATTTGGTGTTGCCAAAATCGTTTAGTGTAAATGCCATCGAGCATTCGAAACGTCATCTCAAATGTCATCACGCGGCGACAACCGACGAAATGGCGCGTCGTATCCCCATCAATTATGATGTGTCGGTTTTTTTTTGTGTCCGTCCCGGGAGTAGTGAGGGTTGCTCATTGGTTTCCGGTGTTCGAATCAAAATAGTTTTGTATTTTAAGCGAGCTTGTTTACAAACGTGATTTAAATCCAACTTGCTCTCTTTTTTTTTTAAGGGATTTTATGACCTGGTAACTGAGACCTTTAAGTCATGTCTTATTTTAATTTATATTCGTATTTTTATGAAAAATGATATTATGGAGTGAAATGAAATAAAGATGATTAATTTGAGACATTAATCAACTGGGATGAAATTAAATGAAATGAGATGATATGGGATGAAATATATTCTCAGTAAAATGGTAGTCATTTACTAAGATTTTTTAGTGGACTTTTTGGAGGATCCCGAGAAGTTACGTCCAGCGGCTTTGTTTCATTTTCCCACATTTGTGCACTTTCACAGATATTAAACAGTTAATAAACCACCATTATTACACATTTAAACCCGAAGAAACACTAAATAGACAAAATAAAATAAATCACACAACTTCACTCCTCGCGTTCCCGCCAAAAAGTCCCCAACTTGCTCTCGGTGTATTATTGTTACAGATTAACATTTGTATACAAACGTTCGTTGTTGAAAACTTTAGCTGGGTAGGTATAAAACATAGTATAAACATAAAACACGGTTCAACAAAACTATTGTATTTCATTACTGGCTTAAACTGCTCTGTGGACAATGGCGGCGTCCACACGCACTGAATTTCATAGTTACAAATCGCACTAACAATTTTGTCGGGATATATATTCAAAGATAAGACTTTTATTTAGTTCTTAATGTATATATGTATATATTTTGGATACATATATTTATTATTAAATACTGGCTAAGAAATTTCTGACAAATTTATTTAAGCTTAAAGGTGAGTAGTCGGTTTGTGTGCCCAGTCTAAAATTCCTTTGAAAACTATCTTCTATGTTTCTCCAGCCCACACGCGTCCACTGCTTGATATAGGCCTCCCCCAAACATCGCCACAAAGATTGGTCCTGGGTTGCTTGCATTCACCGGATCCCCGCGAACCTCAATAGGTCATAAGTCCACCTTGTGGAAAGCTTACCCAAGTTACGTCTTTTGGTACATCCACATCTATTCGAAATAGCGGTAAAACCAAACCGTTCTCTGTAATTTTTTTAAAAGAGCTTCGTTTTTTTATTGCTTACATGTGTGGACGAGCTCACAGTCCGCTTGGTGTTAATTGGTTACTGGAACCCATAGACACCCGTAGACAGAAACGCATTACTCCTACACGGCGGAAATAAGCAGGTTAGGGCCTACACGTGCGGACTCATAAGAGGCCCTACCACCGGTAATTACGCAAATTATAATTTTGCGGGTTTGTAATTATTATTTTGTGGGTTTTCGTTTTTAATTTTACTGTTGTTATTGTGCCCTTAAAGTTTTCCCTGAATGATTACCCAGGCAGTAATCGAAGTAACTCTAAACAATTTTAACGAAACTAATTAGTAACCGAACCCAACTAAATATTCAAACGAAAATACCGAGTGAAGGAAGTCACAAACTTTCACGTAATTACCCACGGCCGTCGGTTTATTATTCTGTAAATGTGACAAGAACGCGAAAAAAAATTATTCTCGAATCATTAACGTGTTGTCTTAGTCATAAGAGGAGCGGAAAGCATTGATAAAATGACAAAATTCACAGAAATATTGATTTTTTTTCACATCAATATCGCACGTCGTCAGTATGTATATCTCACAATTCAATAGCCCCAATATGTGAGTGTTGGGACCCGGCGATTCAACTCAACCAAAGAAAAGGCATGCTGTCCTTTGACTTCTACAATGTACCTACAAATAGCATTGTGTTATAAAGTTTCTGAATTTAATTCTTATAAATATATGTGATTAACACGTAAGGCGTAAGCGTGGGTACCAATATCCTGTTTGTTATTGCCACGGAGTAGTTATGGGTTCTGAATGGCTCCGAAGGGTTTTTAGATTCCAATATTATTCACATTGCGATGTATACTCGTCAAAAGAAACTGAAAACGATAATGTTTTTTTATTGTTTTTTTATTCTATATATGCCTAGACAGCCCACTTGGTGTTAAATGGTTACCATACCCTATAGACATCTACAACGCAAATGCCGCCAGCCACCTTGAAATATACGTTCTAAGGTCTCAGTATAGTCACAACAGCTGCCCCACCCTTTAAACCGAAACACATTACTGCTTCACGGCAGAAATGGGCAGGGTGGTGGTAATGAAAACTATATCATCATTAAAAGTGTAATTACTTAATTTATTGCAGCGAAAATGGTACAAAGTCAGACGTATAACGGATTGGCTGTAACCGAAATAGAAAATTCTAGTCTAGAACATGATAGTGCCAAACCTTCAGTGGTCGGACCTAGGGAATATGAAATCGTCTATAGGAATATATTCATACATATTTATCTACACGTTACAGCATTTTATGGCCTATATCTTTGTTGTACGACAGCGAAATGGCCTTCAGTTGGATTCGGTAAGCTATTTATCTGCGTGTGTTTTAATGTAAATAAAATATTTATAACTATTGTTACCATACACCTCACGCTTTGTTTTACAATAAAATCATTTGTATTTGTACACTATTTTTAATTCAAAATTATTAAAATTTGTTTTCTATTTTTTAGTTGAATGATAATTTTTTTCTCAATTTTTCATTTCATCTGAATCAGTCGGTAACTTATCCGAGAAAAAGATGATCGGTGCGCCTGGTAGTTTCCCTTCTTGGTCTTGAAGCAGATACTCCGGGTCTCAGGATAACAAAAAATCGCTAATCCTGATTATCCTACTAAGGATAACGGATCAAACTGTTTAAAATATTGAATTGTCATCGGTCCTTAATAAGTTTGTTAAATTTCGAGCTAAAGGGGGTCAAAATCATGTTCAAAGATTCCGTTACATATTAACATATATACTAACATACGTATGAAGCTAATAAAAGCGAATTAAAAAATAACAAAGAGAAAAAGTAAACGATTTGATCATCATTACGAAAATGTATAGAGATTGCGATTTTAAATTCAATACTATTTGAATACAATAATACATTGGGCGTTCCGCGAAAATTTTAATTGCGTCACATTTTATTAATTTTTTGATATTTGTACAACTGTTATTTCCATATTTTTCTTACGTAATGATCATTAATGTGTACATAAATGTAAATGAATCATAAATTGATTAATATCCATATTATTATAAGCATTCACGAGCACTTTGTTTTCGACAGTGTTTCTGTGATAGCATAGTCAATTTTTATGAATTTGCTTGACAGCGTACCTGTGTTATGTAGCAGCAACGATTGGCGTAACAGCAGGAGCTCACAGACTGTGGTCCCACAAATCATACAAAGCAAGATTACCTCTTCAAATCCTACTAATGGTCTTTCTTTCACTGGCCAATCAAAGAGCCACCCATTGGGTTCGAGACCATAGAGTTCATCACAAGTACAGCGATACGGACGCAGATCCACATAACGCAAGCCGTGGCTTCTTTTATTCTCATATAGGTTGGTTGTTCGTCAGAAAACACCCTGAAGTTAAGAAGAAAGGAAAACTAATAGACCTTTCGGATTTGTTCGATAATCCTGCATTAATGTTTCAGCACCGGTGAGTTTTTTGTTGCTCTGACTGCTCTCAAATGGATAGTGATTCACAATATCATAACCCTTCAGTGAGAGGTCGCAACTGTCTTTGTATTATAAAATCCTTTAAGCTCGAACACAATATTATTCTTCTCCATTTATAGCCAAAGCGTTGGTACCAATTAATATAGGCCACAAGAGATCCAGCCTAAGTGCAAATAGAGAAGAGTCATCAATCATATTTAAAACCGATTTTATGATGATTGAGATGATTTGACTTAAATTATATCTAATGTTTGATGAGCCATCACACTAAATCTTTTTCACGTAAAAATAGTCATCGATGCTGATATGGGGTATATTTTTATTTAATGAGATCAAATGGTCTATTGTCCACAGGTATTCGAAAACATTCATCCCTATTGTCTGCTTTGGACTCCCAACAATACTTCCAGTAATATTATGGGACGAATTATTAGTAGTCGCCTGGAACCTCACCATCATGAGATACGTTATCAACTTCCACGTGTTCTTCTTAGTGAACAGTGCTGCTCATATCTGGGGCAACAAGCCTTATGATAAAACAATCAAATCAGCTGAGAACAATCTGGTGGCGTTCGCTACTTTAGGGGAAGGATATCATAATTACCATCATGTATTCCCCTGGGATTACCGGTGCACAGAGTTAGGAAGGACCTGGCTAAACTATACAAAGCTCTTCATTGATTTGTGCGCAAAAGTTGGATTGGCATACGATCTTAAAGTGGTTTCTGATGATGTGATATTAAAACGAGTGAAAAGGACTGGGGATAGATCACACTTTATTAAAAACTAGCTGTGCCCGCGGCTTCGACCGCAACAAAATGAAATTTTATTTTAAAACACAGAAGCAACAAAACGATTCAGAAAACGTACTACAAGCGAACTACATATACTTATATTCTCAACATACATTCTCTTTTATGTATATAGATGAGAAATATATTATATCCTGATATAGTTAAATGTTTTGTTCATTTCACAAAGCACAGTTTAGTTCTCTCTTGTTAATTAATACAGCAAGTATCTTTTTTCGGCGATGTAAATAATTTGTAATTACGCCTTAGAACCAGGGAGCCAAACCCATGGACGTTCTGTTTATTAGTTTTATAGTTTAACTTCCACCGTAAATCAAATTCTCAAACATTATAATTTGTATAATTACTGGTGGTAGCGCATCTTGTGAGCCCTGACGGGCTCCACCACCCTGCTTATTTCTGTCGCAAAAAAGTAATGGGTTTCAGTTTGAAGGGTGGGTAGCCGTTGTCCTGTAAAAAACTGAGACTTAGAACTCATGTCCCAAGGTGGGTGGCGGCATTTTTGATGTCTATGGGCTCCGGTAACCATTTAACAGCAGATGGGTCATGCTCTTTCATCCATCTTTGCAATAAAACCAAAAAAGTATGATTAATTATTTCAGCGATACGCGAAAGCCGTAGTTGGTAATGAAAAGAAAAATTTATACCCAAAATTCGCAATATTTAACAAGCCCGTAGCCTAATGTGAGTGTCTAAACGATAGGCGCCACTGATAAACACGTGTCACATAATTTCAGTAAACGTCAAAATAGTCTGGTTCACACATCCGCAGACATGTGTTTGGTTAACAGATAATGAATTTACTATTACCTAGANACGCGAAAGCCGTAGTTGGTAATGAAAAGAAAAATTTATACCCAAAATTCGCAATATTTAACAAGCCCGTAGCCTAATGTGAGTGTCTAAACGATAGGCGCCACTGATAAACACGTGTCACATAATTTCAGTAAACGTCAAAATAGTCTGGTTCACACATCCGCAGACATGTGTTTGGTTAACAGATAATGAATTTACTATTACCTAGAGATACCTCAACCATTTGCTGCGTTGAATCCGCTGCGCAACGCAGTATCGATCGTGTTTGAGTGGCAACCGCGTTGCAGAAGACCTGGTCGCCCTGTGCACTTTCGGCCAAGCACCGTGGAGAGCATGATGAAGGCTGCCGGCCTGACTCGGAGTGATGTTAAAGAGCAAGCCCAAGACAGGGTGAAGCGGAGACAACTTGTGAGGTCCCTATGTACCAGGTGCCTTAGGACTACCGACCAATGTACTTTCGCCGAATTTCGCGAATCGTAGTAATAATTAAAACTATGTTGACGGTTTCTTCTCGCGTTTTTTAAAAATATCGTTTTATTGTTTTCTGTATCACAAGGTGGCTCTCCGCCATTTACCAAGATCGAAAACTTAGCTTTATCGGACACATCACGCGGTCTCTAAGGCATTGTCTCTAGGAAAAGCTTCGCATTCTTGGTCCGGTAGAGGGGAAACGAGCCAATGGCAGGATGCCACAAGACGGTTGGACACTAAAAGGACAGTTGGAGACAGCATCCTACATGCGATCCACCTCTCACCGGACCAATCTTCATGGTCGCGATCCTCAGTAATGAGCGAAAGATTAAGAAGAAGATTTAACTTTCGGAGTTTCTAATACTTCTCATTTTTCGTCGGAGAATCGTTCGTGACCAAGAGAATAATGTAATATCAATAAAAATCACGCTAGTTTAAAACGGTAAAGTAACTTTAATTATACTTTAAGTATTTTGATATCCTCAATATCCCGTCCTATTTGTACAAAAAGGTGAAACTCGCTTTGGGGTATGATTAGCTATGGTTGCAAACTATTAATTTTTATGCGAATGTGCCCAAACAAAGGCATGCTTATTATTGATTGCTTTACACGTCAAGTTACTTGACAGAAGAATTTTAATATCCTTGCATCAACGCATTGGAGCCAATTGGAGATATTTTGAGTCTAATCGGTAATTAAAATCATCGTTGATTCATTTGCACAATAAAGTTTTGATTATCTAACAAATTTATGCTTTAGAATCCTGTAGCATTTTAAAATTGACATCCACTGTATCGCTTTTGCTTGAAAGATCCGATTCTCCGGAAGTTTCCACTTCAAAGACAACAATAACTTAATAATAATTCGTAAACTTCAGTAATATATAAACGAACGCGACATTGGTTTACTGTTATTGTAAAAGGTCTTGACTGGAACAGAAGCGGCAAAGAAATTAAAACCAATCCAAAATTAGATAATCTTTTGCGCCATACATTTCATAAATGTTGGCAGTTCTTTTTAAACTGGCCTAGTTGATTTAATGTCGATCTTTTGTGTCATTTAAGATGTCTCTGTTGAGGGGTCTAGTTAATGTGGTGGTTTTTGTTTCTCCAAAACTTTTCAAGGTAATTAACGGCTTTTAGATGATTGATGGTTTTGTGAAGGGTTGACAATCAGTAACGTTTCAATGCAGTTTGGTTTAAATAAGATAGCGACTTCCTTTCCCTTACAAAGCTTAACTTGCGATAGGACTTTTAGTTATAGGTGGTAGATAATATAAACAAGGATTGTTTTTATTGCTTAGATGGTTGGACGAGCTCACGGCCCACCTAGTATTTATTATGTTGTAACCGGAGCCTATAGACAACAACAACGTAAATGCCCAACTTGAGAAAATATGATTTCTAAGTCTCAGTTTTAAGGTACAACGGCTGCTCCAGTACTGAAACCGAAACTTATTACTGTTCCTCGGCAGAAATAGGTATAGGTGGTAGGACCCCTTGTGAGTCCTCACGGGTAGGTTCCACCACCCTGCCTATTTCTGCCGTGAAGCAGTAATGCGTTTCGGTTTTAAGGGTGGGGCAGCCGCTGTAACTATACTGAGACCTTAGAACTTATATCTTAAGGTGGGTGGAGCATTTACGTTGTAGATGTCTATGGGCACCAATAACCACTCAACACCAGGTGGGCTGTAAGCTCGTCCACCCATCTATGTAATAATAAAAAATCAAATGTATAACGGACTGGTTAGAACCGAAATAGAAGATTCTAGTCTAGAATCACGCAGATATAATTGTGCTCGCCTTTGTAAATCCTGCTTACCCATAAGTTGTAGTTTATGAGAGTATATTCGTGATCGCAATTGACCAGAGAATCTTGACCTTTCGAAACTGGGAACTATAAATTTTAAATTCTTAAGTTTTATTCTTATATTTTTATATTATTATTTTAAATTCTCAGGTGGATTGTGAGCTCGTTCACCCATCTAAGCGATAAAAAAAACAAAAATAATAATAATAATATTTAACCATAAATTTATTGTCAGAATAAAATTACTTGTAAAAATGTACCTTAAAATCGAACGTAAATGAAATTAATATCACATATGGCGTCATATTCCCTAAACAGCTCAATTTTACGCAACGTTAGAAAAGGAAACAATAAAAACGGGATCATTACGAGATATTATCATATAAATTGAAAGTGTTCAGCTGATGGACAGTGAACGGAATGGAGATGTCTTTCATTTTCCTATATCTATATCTAATATATAAAATTCTCGTATTATATAAAAATGAATTGCTGTTCGTTAGTCTCGCTAAAACTCGAGAACGGCTGGACCGATTTGGCTAATTTTGGTTTTGAATTATTTGTGGAAGTCCAGAGAAGGTTTAAAAGGTAGATAAATATGAAAATGCTCGGAATTAAATAAAAATAACAATTTTACTTTTCCTTTGATGTGTCCCCCGTCCGTTTTAAGTTTATTTTATACAAAAGTTTAGGTCTTTTATTTATCGATTGAGGCACTGCGAAGTCTGCCGGGTCAGCTAGTTTATTTCTAAAATCATTAACACTATTAATGTAGTTTAAACTTTACCCATTACATTTTAGTGAAATCTATGGTGCTAATAGAAATTAGCCCTTGTAGAACTTTGCCGTTTTGTGAGTCATCACGCGTAAGTCTATGTACCTATACATACCGTCCTATAACGGACACACACAGACTTGACAAAAAAAAAATTTATTGCGTAGGTGGGTGGAGTAGCTCACAGCCCACCTGGTGTTAAGTGGTTACCGGAGCCCATGGACATCGTCAACGTAAATGCTGCCACTCACCTTGAGATATTATTATGCGTTATAAGGTCTCAGTATAGTTACAACGGCTGCCCCACCTTTCAAACCAAAGCACATAAGTGCTTCACGACAGAAATAGGCCGGGTGGTGGTACCTACCCATGCGGACTCACATGAGGCCCTACTATCAGTAACTAAGCAAATTACAAATTTGCGAGTTTAATTCTTATTACACCATGTTATTCCTTTACCGTGGAAGTCAATCGTTAAGTAAATATTTCATTAGAAAAATTGGTACCCGCCTGCGGGATTCGAACGCCGTTGCAATTATAACTGCTAATAATAACCATTTCAGACCAGAATGCTTGATTACTTTTGAAAAATCTTATTACACTAGGTGCTATTTTTTATCATGACCTAAAAATAATCAAGTGAATCATCATTTGAGTATAGGTGAAGGTAAATCGTCTAAGTTAAATAATTCAAATGGCTAGAATTTGATTTTGGCTTGTATTTATTTCCCTTGATACATACTATAATTGAAATATAAACATTTAAATAATATATAAAATACGTGCGACTCCACAGCATTCTTGTGCCGAAAAGATTATGATTTGTCGTGTGATGTGACATTTGATTTCAGGCACGCGGCGTATCGTCAGGGGTGTACACAATTCATTTATTATTATTATTATTTGAGTCTTTTTTTGCTACGACACCGCGCGCACCGGTAAAGGATTGTTTGAAGGTATATTTGAGTCGACTATTATCAAAGCCGGCAATGTGACTTTTGGACAATTATTGGTAAATCAGAAAAACGAATTATTGACTTTGTATTCCATTGGCAGTCACAAAACTCTTCTGAACGACATCTTAGATAAATAACAGGTTAAGTATTAACCTTTATTTAATGCAGGTTTTGAACCGTATTCTTTGAACGAGACGATTATATTCAAATCAATCTGTATTGACATATCAATAAAATTTTTTTGTCCAAATGCACAGATTGCCACCTTTGATAATAGACTCATTTATAGTCTACCGTCATTCCCCTATTACGATCGTAATGTTCTTTTGGCTTTAACGTACTTAAATTAATTACGATAATTTTTTTGAAGTTATACTTCTTTAGGCGCGTTATGATAAATTGATGAGAGTGAAATTTTACGATGCGCGCGCACCGTGACACAAAATTAACAGAATGAAGTTAGTTGCCCACTAAATCGCTCACTACAATACGACCGACGTAACTTGGCGAGTCTGAATATAGCTGCAGGTGAACTTTCACGCATGTAAACTCGTAAAAAAAAGTGTTATTAGCATTCATTTTTTAGTAATATAAACAACAAAATTATTATTTAATATAATTCATACTAAATATTATTAAATTATTAACGTTAAATATTTATTATTAATTATTTAATACATAAAAAAAAAAAAAAGTATAACTTCTTACGCGCGTACATAAGTACACGCACCATTTTTTTAGATTTCGTTTTGTGTTCGTATTTCGTGTTGGTTATCCTCCTTGCATCGCTTCCCTCATTACTGAGGGTCGTGATTACTCATGTACAATTAATTACCCTCCGTGTCCGATCTTTAGCTTCGTGGAGGGCATCGTGATGATCAGTCAAGATCGAATTTGGTCCGACCATCTCGTGGGACTGTCTCCTCTGGGACGTTTGTCCTCTATCTTGCCCGTCACGTTAGTTATAAATGCAGTTTATTATTTGTGAAAAACAATTGATATATGTACTTTATCGAAGTTTAATTGATTGATATAAAAATTCCCTGAAAAAATCTAAAAAATCTGTACAAATCATTAAGTATTGATTTAGGTTTTTTGTTTGTTTTGATAATGAACGCTAATGCTATAGTGCCTATCATTTTTAAGCTGACATTAAAATTAGGAGAAGAAGAAATGAAATCACATCCCGCCTGATTATTGAAGGCTATAGACGTCATAACAAGCCTTAGCAAGAGCATAGTTGACGTGAAAAAAATTAGCATACTTGTATGTGGATATGTATGCTATATGTGTATGTAAAATGGATTCAACCAGTCAAAAGTTATGAGGTAAAGAAAAAAACATAGAGTCGAATTGAGAACCTTTTCCTTTTTTGAAGTCGGTTAATAAGAAAAACCAAAATACCGAATAGAGTTTTTATTTCATGAAAATTATTTCATTAATATCAGAAACAGAATACTAGTCGCTAAACATATAAACGAAGCGTACATTGGGACGGTACCAGAGTAATAACTCAACTGTCTAGTTGTTTTATCCATTTCAACCAAACAGTCCAAGATTTCTTCGTTGTTAGGAATAATCTGCTCGCTGGAGAGAAGGAATCCAAACTCACCGACGTCTCTAAGCTCGAATAGGTAAACTATAGGAATATCGGCGACTCCTTTGACCCAATCGAAACTGGAACCACTGACTTCGTCTGAAAAAACAAAATTGCAAAATCTTTAAGTTGAGTAGTACGAAAAATTAATTTAAACTAAATTCCTAAGACATCTTTGTCCTTTTAATTATGAAACACTTCAATTCACTTAAACTAAGAGTTAATTTAATGAAAGTTCGTCTGCCTTTTTTTTTAAATTACATTCTATTGTTTTATATAAGTCTTAACGAAAGACTGTTACGATGTTAGCTCAATATTGTGTACTCAATAAAGATAAAATTTATATGATAAATTTCAGTTTTTATTATTAGTGGTGTAGATTATTTTGATCGGCATGAACAGGTACAAAGGCCTTGCTCGATTCTGCTGTGATGTGTCAATTTGACGGATCGGACTACCGTTAAATCATAGCATTGAGACTTTGACCGTATATGTCAAGAAGGATTACCGGCAATCACGTTAAGGTATCTCTAAGATAGGCCACAACCTTCTATCTACCTACTGTAATAAAAATATTGCGTAATGTAATTTTATCGAATCCAAGTTACTCAATTTACTAAGAGAAAAAGAAAAAGAAACAAAATATTTGTTGAGTTGTATAAATGATTACATCTATGTCGTAAAATGAAAATACGCTGTATTAAATGCTGATAAAATTTCGTGCAGAGCTTTAGAAAAAGACCTTTATGAATAAATACTGGAAAAGCAAGCTACTTCGTAAATGACTGGTTTTTGGAACGAAGTTCCTTGCGGGACGATGCGGAGGGGTACACTAACCGGGAAAAAACGTCCGTAACGTAAGATTTTTATTATTTACGTATAGTCTTAGTATGATGGCTATACAGTGTATATTACTATTCTATACTAATATTATAAAGAGGAAAGATTTGTTTGTTTGTTTGTTTCGAATAGGCTCCGAAACTACTGGACCGATTTGAAAAATTCTTTTTCCATTAGAAGACGACATTGTCCCTGATGAACATAGGCTACTTTTTTTTTTATTTTTTTTATTTTTTTGTCTTCATGTGTGTTTTAATTTTTCCGAAGCGAAGCGAGGGCGGGTCGCTAGTATTATATATTTTTATAAATCATTGTGAAATAACTTTGTAAAGTAGTTTTTTTTTATCAATAAAAAAATCATAATAAAAAATGTATACCCGAATAATTATTTTCTTTATACCTCGAATAGAACTTAAAATTAATAATTTTATAATAAAGAACTTCGTTCCTATCCGGTATCCCACGACACCACACATCTTGTTTTTTATTGATTTATATTTAGGATTGATTGTCAACGTCCTTACAGAGAATGTCCGCTGAGGTTCCAACCTGGTACTGAGTTCCGTGTCTGGCCGTCAGCTTTTCAGCGCCACGGATAGCAATTTCGTACTGGGAACAAGGAAGCGTCATATTAATGTTTAAATAAGTTATATTTTTAACCAATTAAAAAAAAGAGGAGGTACTGAATTCGATCGAATATTTTGTATATTGTGCTCTTAGATTTTTTTTCTAGGTGAATAGATTTTGATGACTTATTTACTTATTAGAAAGATGTCATGTGCTGTCTAGCAAGAGAAGCACATGCTTAAATTGTATAAATATCTTTAATAATGCATATTTAATTGACTCCGTCCAGATTGATGATATTCTCTTTTTATTTTATTGAAGCCGTTTTATTTATTGGTAATTTCTGATATTGCATTATAATCTATGCTCCTGATTCTAAATGAAAACTCATGTTCAATAGACCAATCGAATAAGTGTAATATATGGATAGTACTTCTATTTAAAGGTGTTGAGCTCATAGAATGAAAACGCTCATTAAGCGAGAAAACAGCATTGAAAGCTATCTGGTCTTTTTAAAATATATCATATCAAAATTCATATTGTAAATCTTACAAAAATGCATAAAATGCGTTGAGGAATGCGTTGCTTACAAAAATATTCGCTTCGTAGCTAATACATGACATACATGATGTATAATAAATGACCACAACGCAATATGGCATTAAAGAAGAGCCATGGAGTTTATGAAATGTCCCACTTGTCTCGAATTTTCTTAGCGAGATCTTTGGGATATTAGCTGGTAGGTAGGACGCGTCGTAAGCCCATACGGGTTGATTTGTATATTTGTCTTATTTCTTCAATATAATCTACAGTACTACTATTAAAATAGAATAATAGTCAAGTACATCATTTTTGGTTTCAGATATGAATATACGTAAAATGTTTTTTTTTATTAAGATTGCATATATCAGTGGAAATTTTATAAATATACTTTTGTATTACAAGAATACCTAAATTTTTTTATTGCTTATATGGTTACAACGGCTGCCTCACCCTTTAAACCGAAACGCATAGCTGCTTCACGGCAGAAATAGGCAAGGTACTCGTGCGGACTAACAAGACGTCTTACCACCAGTGAGTAATAACTTTATTGGAACAATTTTCATAGAACATTAAAGTCTACGAAAATGATTTCGAACGTGCGAAAGCTGTTTACAATTTTGAATGAAATAAAACAACCTATATAGTTTCTTACCATGTCCGCGTAATTACTAGCTTCCAACACATTCTGGCCTGACACATGGCTGTAAGGAACCAGTATCATCTGGGAATAGGAGTGGAATGCGAAATAGTAGAGGAAGTTGCCAGTTTCTTTTAAGCGGAGAACGTAGTTGGAGATAGCCTGAGCTTCTAGTTCGGACGACGGGGAAGGTCCAGCGTAAGTTTGTGTACAAGGATTCGAAGATGCGCCAGTCGCTGGAGAAATAAAAATGGAATGTCACTAACTTAACTAGTTCTAACAGTTTTGGTAATTACAACAATGTTAATATTTTTTTTTTTATTGCTTAGTTCGGTGGACGAACGTACAGCCCACCTGGTGTTAAGTGGTTACTGGAGCCCATAGACATCTGTAACGTAAATGCGCCACCCACGTTGAGATATAAGTTCTAAGGTCTCAAGTATAGTTACAACGATTGCCCCACCCTTCAAACCGAAACGCATTACTGCTTCACGGCAGAAATAAGCAGGGTGGTGGTACGTACCCGCGCGGATTCTCCAGAGGTCCTACCACCAGTAATATAAATTTTATAGACTACACAATCCCAATACAAAGAAAAGCATTATGTAAAATATTATGTAAAAACAAAAACACACTCATCCAAAGAAAATTGAAATTCCTGTTCAAGTCGATACCGTTGCCCAAATCTAAATTTCCAGTAGAGCACGGAACATAATTCACAGGATTCCTGTTCTTTCTCCACATACGATCCTGTTAGAAAATAATTATAGTGTAAAAAATGGGGTAAAGCTGTAAATTATAATCTTTATATATAAAAATGAATTGCTGTTCGTTAGTCTCGCTAAAACTCGAGAACGGCTGACCGATTTGGCTAATTTTGGTCTTGAATTATTTGTGAAAGTCCAGAGTAGGTTTAAAAGGTAGATAAATATGAAAGTGCTCGGAATTAAATAAAAATAACAATTTTGTTGTGTTTTGATGTGTCCCCCGTCGGACGGATTCCTTTTGTTTGTTTTAAATTTATTTTACACAAAAGCTTAGGTATTTTATTTAACGATTGAAGCACTACGAAGTTTGCCGGGTCAGCTAGTAAGTAATACGAGTATAACTAGTATTGAAATTTAAAAAGTCTCACCTCCGAGAATGTGTACGTGTATCCATCAGGATTTGTGACCGGAACAATGTGCCAGATAAAGGTCTCGGCCAAGAATCTCACATCAGGATCATCGCTCGTCAAGAACTCTTTGATGATCCAAGTGACAGTCGCCGGAGATATCCATTCACGGGAGTGAATACCTCCCTCAATCATCCCAATCAGAGGATTGTTGCCTCTTTCTCCTTTCTTGAAATCAATTACGATGCCTTTAAGTTCGCGGCCTTCAAATGACGTGCCAATTACCATAGTAGTGACTACTCCAGGATACAGAGTGACGAGCTCATCTAACCATGCGTGAATTTGAGCTAGACTATAGTATCTGTCCCAGCTGAAGGAACCCAGAGTGCTGGAGCGTGCATTTGTCGCAGGTTGTAGTTGGGAGTTGATTAGCCTGCAAAAAAGAAGTGGCTTCAAATCATTTAATTTTTCTTCTTCTTCTTATCAGCCCACAGACGTCCACTGCTGGACATAGGCCTCCCCCAACCCTCGTCCCAAAACCGGTCCTGCGCTGCCTGCATCCAGCGGATCCCCGCAAACTTCAATAGATCGTCGGTCCATCTTGTGGGAGGCCTACCCACGCTACGTCTTCCGGTACGCGGTCGCCACTCAAGAACTTTCTGGCCCCAACGGCCATCCGTCATTCAATTAATTCGTTATCATTTAATTAAGTTATTTTTATTGTTTTTAGTGAAGGAGTTCACGGTTCATTCAATGCTAATCTTTTTTTTCCTATCTAGTTGCTGGTAGCCTGTAGGGCTACTCACGGTTTGGTAGGTAGGCTACTTTAATGTGGGAAGATACACGTCAAAAATACACGTCATCTCGGATCCTCCCGATCCACTAACGGTGCTTCTAGGTACTTCAAGCACCGGTCACCGTCCTCGTCGAACCCGTTGCTTGCGACGAAGGGCTCGACGAGTAAATTAACTCTCTCAGACACAGCCCACTGAGTTTCTCGCCGGATCTTCTCAGTGGGTCGCGTTTCCGATCCGGTGGTAGATTCTGCGAAGCACGGGACTTGCTAACAATAGCCCTAGCAAGAGCGGAGCTTCGCTCAATCTGTCAATAGATCAGAATAGCAACGTACTGAGAAGATCCAGCGAGAAACTCAGTGGGCTATGTCTAAGGGAATACTAATCGATTGCATGAACTCGTAGTTACAATTTGAACACTACTTCTTATTTGGAGACATGAATTTGAAGTCTAAACTGATTTTTTTAAATAGCTATGCCATATTTTTAAATAATGTGGACTTAAACATTCCCATACAATTACCATCAGTAATTACACAAATAAATATTAGAGTTAAACAGTGTTATAGTAAAATGCATTTTTTTGCTTGTCTATAGCTTTATTCAAATTCAATATCTTAAATTACTTTCATAGTTAAAAAGAATCCAACAAGTAATTTAACGTGGTATAAATTACTTGTTTCTATAGTCAGCCATCTTTGTAGAAAGATGGTTGACTATAGAAACTTAAAAATTGTGCAATTCTTTTGAGAGAATTTCAATCAAAATAAATGCATTTTTTAAACCAGTTAATTGTACAAAACAAATATTTTGATAGTTAAAATAATTATAAGAGAGTTAATTCTGAGAACTACCTACACTTTCAAAGTTTTCATAACTTATTAATTGATATTCACAAATTTTATTAAACGTACTTACGCTTGAACATTCGATATTGTCACATTAGGTTTCAAACCAACACTATGTGCGTAGTTCACAAACTCTTGCTCCTGTTCAGGGGCTACCATCACTCTTGCGTTTCCACCGATCGTGAGGATATCGGTCCAAAAATCATATCCGGCTTTCTTAAGATCACCGAGCATTTGTATGTGAATTTCTGACGTAGGCACTACATTGTATACTTTGTAGTTTTCATAGCTTCTGTACGCTAAGCTTGCTCCAGCGAAACAAAAAAATATTAATGTTTTAAAGAGCATGGTACTTTGAATTCCGATTCGATAATGGCTGATAGAAACTTGTAAATTGAAAGTTATAAAAAAAAATTGAAGATATGTCTTTATGATTTTCGATAAATAATTATCTGCGGTCATAAAGTACTAGATATAATTCACCATGAACATTGAAACGCTTGATTTCTTTGCAAGATCCAAAATAGCCATTAGTCAGACTCAATTTGTATGTCTATTAATCAGAAAGTATGCGCATGATAACATTTCGCGGACGATCTCTAATACGATGGACCGACCTCATAAAATCTGTGACTTGCTCCAACATAAATAATTGCTCTAACTCTGCGAAACACCGTGCCACATGTCGTCGCATCGCAAGAGCATCGGTATTGCAGTGCTCGACTGATGCATGACCACGACCACCCTGCCGAGAGTGTACGACAAGGAAGAAAGAATGCGCATGTATTAGAAAGATAACAATTTAAGTGTCTGTCTGGAATTCAATCAGAACGTATGCATAAACAGAACAGAGCTCATCCACAATATCTGAAACCGGTGCTTTCATCTATAATGCGTTTCCAGAGATAATTTTGCAACATAACATCGGGCTCTGAAAAGAACTCCCATCCATCCATGTTGTTTCCTGAGCGTTTTAACATGTCCTTCTTCAAACAATCATTGTGAAGAATAATTAGCGGTAAGCAGCGACTTGTTTGTCTAGGAAATTGCTAACATCTGAGCTATGGTAAGTACTCACTTTGATCTGATCTACATGCTTGTCTGCATACAAATGTCAAAACAAAAATAATTTCAAACACATTCTTCACATTTCCATCAACAGTCTGTCCATAGTTGTGCAGGAACATTTTATACTAGATTTAGTTTCTAATTTATTCCGACTTTTTATTTCTTCTTCTTCTTTTGATTATCTCGTTTAATCTGACCCAGATTTACTATTCTATGTCATATCATTCCCTAGAAATCACAATGACGTCAGGTCGTAAAATTGTAAACAAAATCAGGTAAGGCCTTATGATAATTTTATATAGATTTTTGTGGTACCAAGCGATAGCGGCCGTTACAAAATTCAATTCTAATAAAATTTACTAAGAAAATTTATTTGCGATAAATAAAAGTGAGCGTTATTGGTGATATTAGTATGTGAAATCGGCATTAGTACGACTAAGCATCTTATAAGTTTTCACGAATGATTTTCGCCAAGAAAGAATTAGATAACGTGATAAAAATCAAACAGTAAGATTCAATTGTTTTCGTAACATGGTAATATGAAACCACAAAATCGTGTTTTCTCGTTTTTTGGATAGATCATTCGATATTTAAAAAAAAACATTTGATATATTTTTACTTAAAATTTAAAAGTTGGGTGACATTTGCAGTTGGTTACAGTACACTAAGTGACCAGTCTCTTCGACCGCTCATACATTTCGGTTCTATTTAATGAGAGAAAAGCATTTCAATTCAGATATGTATTCTCCAGAACAATCATAGGAAAAACTTACGATAACACATAACAATAAAATAAAATTAAGCTGTAATACATTCGAGGAATTCTGGTAATATCCTAATTTTCTTGTAACTCTGTCCATGTCGATGAGTCCATCCATGATTTATTAATTATTAGGGATAATCAATTCTGGTGGTATAAGGAAGCCATATTCTCCAATATCACGTAGCTCAAATAAATATACTCATTAAAGGCAATATTATTATAATATAGGCACATTAGCTCCACTAAATACTCAGAAAGTATTGCAGCTGCATGCCCCTTATTGTTATTTCAAATTGAAAAGAAAAAATCGTTTATTTTTAAAAAGTTGAGAATAAAAAAAGAACTGCTATTACCATTAATTTTTGTTGTTTTTTTTTGCTGTGGACATGTCATAAACTTCAATTACAAGTAAACTATAATAGTTTTTTTATTAGATGATCACTAGTTACAACCAACTTTGTACAGTTTAATATAATACATTAATACAATATTTTTTATTGTCTGTATATGTATTATTAAACATACTTTGAATATTTTAGAGCTTTCATGATCATGAGCAACTACCTACCTAATGTGCTATTCTTCGTGATGACTTAATGTGTCAATGTTGTGTAAATTATATTAGTTGTTTTGAAAGTAATTGTAATGTTATATCTAAATTACTAATTGAATTTCAAGTGACAATAACCACAGAGAGGCTGCTCGAGTCGGAATGTGTTGTTTTTTTTTTGTCTGGAGGAAATGGCCTGACTTCCGCTCTTCACTGGGGATGGAGGGGGGCGGGGCATCTCGGAGTCGAACCGACTAAAACCTCCTGTTGCTCAACAACCAGCATCCAAACCTCGCATGAGACAGAGCTCATTAAAAGGCAAAGGGGGAAAGTGAAGCGCTTAGTGCAGAGCACATCTCTCCAATCCCCCTCCCCCTCCGGACGCCGGACTGGCGGTCGTCGGTGCTACGACCACCAGCCCTCTCGGTCGGCAGGCAATCCGAAACCTGCCTAGATGGCGCCGGTTAGAATGGTCTATCCTACGGAATACCCCGCTGGGTCAGAACCGGCGTGGGTTGAGGATAGCCGGCCTTCCATCACTCGGATGCTCATGCATAAAACTCGTGCAGAGCAGCTTGCACGTCGTCTTCTTAGGCCCTCTTCACCGGTGCCCAGGCCGACATGTGATTGAGACCCGAAACACTTAGTGGGCCAGGGCTTGGGCGACATCCGCCTCCCTGGCCCCCGCTCGACGGCGGCGGGCCTGTGCATCTCTCACGCGCCCCGCCATCTCCTTCTGCGAAATGGTGCACTCGCCAAGCATCGCCTTCCACGACTTGTCGTCACCGAGCATCGATACCACAACACTCAGCAACGACAAGCTGTGAGGTACTAGAACCATTTGAGAGAATGAATGGAACGCAAAATAGTACACGAGGTTGCCTTCTCTTTGAATTCTTAGTGCGTAGTCTCTGGATTCTGGTTCGGAAATGCTTTAGAACCGGCAAATACTTCTGAACATGGATTAAGTGAATCTCCTACAGTTGTAGAAGTAGTAATATGTTATAATACTTTAGCTGAGACAGCGTTTTGGCTTAACAGCGAGAACTTAGTTTCTCATTTTATAAAAGCTTAAGAGATAGGATAAGTTTCGACCTAGACTTCCGACTTTATGTCACATAATGAAAGACGTTACTGGTTAGATGAAATTCTGTGTCTCGTGAAGTAACGGAACCCAAATGGTTATACATATTTTCATTATCTTCATCGTTCGTTGAAGATTATGTTGTTCTACCATTACCCTATAATTTATCGCTTCCTAATGATAGTCATATCAAATTGATAACCAAAGTATTTGCATTATCATAATAATTCGGTATCTAACACGTGCTATATATATGATATTTTTTAAAGGAATCGAATTTAATAAGCTTTTTACGAAAATCGTTTTATAAATTAAAATACTATACTCCTTTAAAAATGTAACTAATAGAATTTAAGGAAATCATGTTTGTTTAAAAAATAACTCATCCACAAAAATCCGAAATTGCCATTCAAATCAATTCCGTTGCTCAATTCATCGTTTAGATTCCATTCAGCACATTATGTAGAGTGAGCGGTGTTCCTATTTTCCTCCACATCCTGTTCTCAAATGTGACAAAACTATAAGTACTCATGCTAATTAAAACAAAGATAACTAACTCAAACTTGTTATCCTTACTTGTGAATATTCATGAGCAGGATAAAATAAAATTCCAACGTACGTTAGTAAAGTATAGGTATATCCACCAGGATCAGTGACCGGGAATATATGCCAAACAATAATAATATTCTACACCATGTGCCGAACTTCAGGATCTATACTGGTCATGAGCTCTTTGATAATCCATGTAACGATTACGGGCGAAACCCATTCCCTTGCATGAATTCCTCTTTCATTCATACCTATGGTTGGATTTGAAGTTCTTTTTAAAATCAATTTTATTTATTTATTTATTTATTTAATAAGTTGCACCAACAAAGTGATCATCAATACAAAACATTGACAAATTGACAAAAGTTCATGGCAGATGTCACCTCAATTATAGGTGCAATCGACATTACATTAACATCAAAAATAAAAATAAAATATACAGCTAAGAATTGGATACATTTCATTCATTGCTTAAGATTAATTTAATTGGGAGATGATCCGCGACAGATTTTTCCTGTAAGTAGTGAGACAATTTGAAAANCAGGATTTTACACCGGTTGGCGGGACAGCTTCCCGGGGCGGAGTTTAGTAGAGACACCCGGGTTCAGGTCCCCTACTGACCGGCGGGCGGCAGCGGGTACCGTTTCACTGGGTCTCCCTATACCCCCGTCAAACACTCACGCCCCGTGAGTTCGCACGCACGTCTGCTCCGCAAGTTCCAGGCGTCACCAAGACTTACCCCCAACAAGGAAAGGGAAAGGGAAGGGATAGAACTGGCTCTCCAACCCACACGCCGGAACACAGCTAGGCTATTTGTGTGCTTATTTTTTTGCTTTTTTATTTTATTGGCGTGTTTTAGTGTCAATGAATATATATATTATATTATTTCGTTAACAAACAATCAACAAAATGTACAGTGATAAGGGAATAAGAAATAAAATCAGCAATTAGTCTAATAATTTAATTAAAAATTAATTAAACAAAACTATAACCATTGAGCATAAAACTAAAACAGACAAAGAAATTACTTTACTAATTGCACCAGCTGAGTAATAGCCAAGAAGCTTAGTCACGCGATCCATCTCGATAAGTCCATCCATAGTTTCAAGGTTGTTGGGGATGATCTGTTCTGGCGGAAGAAGAAACCCGTATTCTCCAAGATCGCGCAGCTCAATCAAGAAAGTGATAGGTACATCTGCCACTTTCTTGACCCAATCAAAACTTCCACCACTAATGGGATCTGAAAAATCAGCACTAATATTTAAATAACTGCGTACGAATTAATTATAAGGATTTTTTTTATTGGAATAATTCGATTAAAGAACTCATGGCCTCATGTGATCACGGCTTGAATACCGCTATCCACCTTGAATAAAAGAAGGTGGAAGTGGGTTGGCCACATGTCCCCTGGTGAAGGTCAAGGGGCGACCTGAGGGGGTCGAGGTTGCGCGGCGCGCTACCTGCACTTTAACGCGTTGCTAAGGTGAAATATCTTCAAGATTAAAAGAGCCACCGGTTGGCGGTGTATCGCGTCCCGACCCGGCAGGCTGGTTCTGGTTCGGCGTGGTATTCTCCCGGAATATCTCATCTCATAATCTCATAATCCCACCAGCGGGACCGACCGGGTGACCCGACGGGCTGCCGTATCGAGACGGCTGACGTTTCAGAGCCTTCGATTCGCCTCAAAGGCTCCGTCGGACGGGTGCCTTTGGGGTGAACTGCGCTGTCTGATTGTAGTGTTGACTGCAGTCACCCCCTTACCTCATCCGGGTTCTGACCTCAGAGGGGATCGGATGTTTGGTCGAAGGGTGCAGGGGAGTCGTTTTGTGAGTAGGATCCTTAAAACATCCTTGGGCCCATGGTTTCGCAGTCGCGGACCAGTCTCACATACACCGCCCGCCCCTTAGGCGCGGAGACCTCGTAGGAGGTTCGATCCCGATACAAAAAAAAAAAAATTTCAATACTTACACAGGATTTCCGACGAAACGCCGACCCTATAAACTGTACCGTATCTTTTTGCGATAGCATCGGCACTTCGTATACCAATTTCATACTGAAATAAAGTAATAAATAAAATTGTAATTTAATTATTGTCTTCAAACATGGTATATTCAATGGATCCGTGGGCTAGATGTAATGAATAATTGCACATCCTAGATTAGGCATGAACACATATCCTTATTCCTGAAATTACGTCATTGCAAGAATGTTATTTACATAGCAATAACGCGGTTTCACATTAAAAATCATTAGCTGCAGAATTTATTACTTACCATATCAGCATAATTATTGGCAAGCAGAACGTCAGATCCAGTCACATGACTGTACGGAATCACTATGAGTTGAGTATAGGAGTGGTAAGCAAGATAGTATATTATCTCTCCCTGTTCTTTCAAGTTGAGGACATACTGAGATATGGCTCTAGATTCGGGTTCAGAAAATGGCCTCGGTCCCGCAAAAGTGTTAGAACAAGGATTATTTGATGCTCCTACAGCTAAAAAAAACGTGAAAACAAGTTAGAAAAGCAGTGTTTTCTGACCAGTTTTTGAAATGTCTAGTGTATTTCAATACAGTCCGTGTCCCAATTCCGCTCAGACTGAAACGTTTGTTAAAGATTTGGTTTAGGCATTTCTGGTTTGTTTGGGTATTCCTTATCATCAGCATGTCAATATTACTAGCAGACGTTATACAAGAGAAAATCTTATGCTTTAAGTTTTTGGCAGCATTAAAGGTATAATTTAATTTTAATTATTCAGATTCTTCATAAATGTATTTTTTAAAGTGTCAAGTCTTGACCATTTTAGGTGGTTTTTCTTGCTACAATGTATCCACGCACGGGAAGTGATGACCTATTTCGTATTTGGCAGCTACCTAAGACTGGTATACAATTGTATTAGAGTATATAACCCATCGTTCTGACCCGAACCCTTAATAATTATTATCTTGTAGTATTATAGCAATAAGTTTAGAAATAAGTTGGTGGAGTTGTCAGTCTGAATGAGCTCATAAGAAATTACGTTAATTTGTAACATTGCTTCTTTTCATGTGATTGATTCGCATCCGAGCGACAGGGGTCATTAAAGGTAGAAAGTGGGATTGAATCGACACTAATTATTATTAAATCACTGTACCTACTCATTGCTGAAACATTTGAGCCCCGTTCGGGATAGAACTTGGCAGAAGTAGAAGGGGCGGCCGTAGCCAACACAACCACTAATTGGTTAAAACTATAATTATATACCACTGATGAATTAAGTTACTGGGACGTGTGGTAAAATTCTGAATTTATGTTTTAACTTACACATCCAAACAAAATCAAAGTTTCTATTCAAATCTACTCCATGGCTCATATCGTCGTCGGCTCCCTCACAGGTTCCAAAACTTTCAGGGCTACGATTCTTCCTCCACATCCGATGCTGTCGAAAATATAAAAGGAAATCTCACGAAAGCGTCTAAATGCTTTCGTCGTAAATGTAGCTGTCAATTTCAATACATCTTTACATGTTTTTTTTTAGATACATAAGATAAATTTGGTTCTAGTCACTTTCATTGGTACGTGTAGTATTTACAATATATCCATCCTTGGAGATTTTTTTATCATGAACTTGAACATCTTAAATTATCTATGTAATATTAGTAATTAGAAGGATAGGTGAAAGTGACTTAGGGAACATCAAAACAGAAAAATATATCAGGAAATATAATTTCATAATCATTTGAATGAACTTAAATAAAATTCGGTTAAATACTCACAGTTGTGAAGCTATAGTGATATCCATCAGGATTAACCACTGGAAATACATGCCATTCAATGTTCTCAGCCATTGCCCTGACTTGCGGGTCTGTACTAGTTAAAAACTCTTTGACTATCCATGTTACAGTAGCCGGTGCGATCCATTCTCTAGCATGAAGAGTTCCTTCCAGGATCCCCATTAGCTTATTAGTCTTTTCTGGCTTATAATTGATGATGATACCTCTAATTTCTCTGTTCTCAACTGATCTTCCCATAACAACTGGTCGTACTATACCAGGATAATTTTGTACTAAGGTATTCATCCAAGTATTTATTGTTTCTAAATTGTGATACCTGTCCCAGCTATAGCCATGAAAGGTTTCCGAACTTCTAAATCCAGTTGCGGGCTTTAATTGGTCCTCGATTGCCCTGAAGAAATATGAGACACAGAGATAATAAGATTGACAGTTCTGTATATAAATTTGTATAAGCAAAGTATTTATGCTGCTGGTTTATTTGTTGACTAATGCATTACGGTAGTAATGGACAGGTTAGTGATATCTACCCGTGTGGTAAAAGTGTAATGATGATCCAATATGGTGGTTTAATACTAAGAGTTCGCTTCCATTAAGTGAATCCCTAAGTTGCCTTTTCTAATATCTACGAAGGGAGACAGGCTGGAGCTATTCTAGATCAACACCGTACACCTCTGATTTGAACCATGTAACAATTGCCATAGAGTATAATATAGACTTTCACTCATGATGCAAGTTGCGTGATGGCATTCACGTTGTGGCGTTTGATATCGCAACTACAATTAAAAACAACTTACTTTTGTAAATCCGGTATCACTTCTTCAACCTCAATCATAGTCTGACGAGTAGAATTCAGGAATAACCCCTGCATATCACCCGGCACCATCATGTTCACTCTATAATTAACAACCAGATTATCATCCCAGAACTCTCCCACCGACGTCCTCCTGAATTCCTCTAAAAGCTTCACATCATCTTCAGTCCTCGGTACCACTCTGTATACTTTGTATCCATTGTAATCTTTAACAGCGTTAACAACGCTAAAAGTTATTAGAAGAAAATAATAAATTTTGTAATTCATTATGAATTACCGAAACCGTTTTAATAATGATGTGCTCAACGTGTTCAATATTTCCATTATCTGTTTGATTACGTCACTTAATTTATCTTGACTGATTTATTAGATAAAAGTCTGGTTTTTTGTTATTATCTGGGTGTTAGTTGAGTACAAATTGTAATTTCTATCTTTTATTTTATTTTAATGTGGATTCGGTATGTTTTTTTTTGTGTGCCATTGGAAACAACTGTAGGCTATGCACATTTTTACAACCTAAAATATTAAAGTTGTATCTTATTCGTAAAAGAGGACCAGATGTTCAAAGCTCTGATGACACGCACCGCAAATATCATTAATAATATCAATATTGAATGCAATCTGGAATCAGGGTTAATAATCATTAGCCTACTGCTCTCGGTAAAATAAATCATTTCGTTTGATCAAGCTACACGATGTAGCCCTCCACAAAGCTAAGGATCGCAGCAGATGAAGAACAATTGTACACAACAGAATGATGCAGACTCAGTAACAAGAAAAGCGACACAAGGAGGACGATTTTTAACGGGAAAGCAGGAGGTAAATCCGACTGTATTGTTTTTGTGTGTATTACCTCGGAATTTTTTTTGGTGAATCGGTTTTGACAAATCGTAATAATGCACAACTAAATAATTTCGAGGTGCTAGAGAAGGATGCTCCATATATCTTGGACTGAGCATCGCACCAACGCCTTGATCCTAAAAGAACTAAATATCTCTCACAGGTTATCGTCAACAGTGCAATCCAGGATTCTTCGATATTTTGGACACGTATCGCGTCGGCCAGCAGAGTCTATCGAGAAACTTGTTGTCCAGGGTAGGGTCAATGGTAAGAGATCTCGTGGACAAATCCCCATGCGTTGGACTGATCAGGTGAAAGACCTTACTGAAACCCCACTTAACGAGTGTGTGCGCCAGGCCTCGGTTCGCAAACTGTGGAAAACATCTGTTAAGGCTTTAATGAGCAAGAATTCCACATGACCACGACTGCTCTGCCAAGAGCAACCGATTATGATGATAATGAAATAATTTCTACCGCATTGACGATATTCTGACTTCGGTTTTCGTTATTGTTAAGATTTGGTATTATTTGTTAGTATGTTACTTTCTGTCTGGAGTTCGGGAATGATAAGTTTTTTGTGATTAAATCTATAAATGTACTGAGAATGAAAATTTAGGTACTTGATTTAAAAGTAGATTGAACACAAATTGGCCTGTTTAAATGGCCTTGGCTTAAAGGATAAGGCGTCCGGTGTACTCGTACTGAGCGATATGACTATGCCGGTGCTAAGATCCCGCAAGCAGTGACATACATATTCGATACGGTCACGAAACTTCTACGATAAAATACATAGCATAGTGTAGGTTGTTTCTTACTGGTGGTAGGCCCTCTTGTGAGTCCGCACGGGTAGGTACCACCGCCCTGCCTATTTCTGCCACGAAGCAGTTATGCGTTTCGGTTTGAAGGGTGGGGCAGCCGCTGTAACTATACTGAGGCCTTAGAACTTATATCTCAAGCCGGGTGGCGCATTTACGTTGTAGATGTCTATGGGCTCCAGTAACCACTTAACACCAGGTGGACTGTGAGTTCGTCCGCCCAATTAAGCAATAAATAAAAAATAAAAAAGGGTAATAAAAATCAATAAAAAATTATAGCTTCCGTCGATAATATGTAGAATTGAAACCTCAAATCGCAAGGTAGATATTCTTGTTCGAATGTCTGTCTTGGGTAACCACTTGGGTACTATTTTTTGTTGCCTTTGCAGTCAGATGAGCATACGGCCCACCTGATGGTAAGCGGTTACCGTCGCTCATGTACGTCAACAATGCCAGGGGCAGAGCCAAGCTGCTGCCTATCATCACAAAACGGTAATAATCACAAAAGTATGAGCTGATTGACCCGTCTGCGCAATGAAACAAAATAAAGACCTTTATCACAGCTATTGATCGTAATAATGCCGATATTCAAGCTCGTGTCCCACTTGGATGATTGGTACCAGATGTTAGACCCTATTTTCTACGTTAGGTATTTCCGTTAAAAAACAATGCTTATTATCAGCTCCTAATCATGCTTTAGATATGATTCGATAATAATAGTTGAGCTATTTTATCTATCGATGCTTTTATTTTCAACTAGTGAAATCCGGTCACGCTCCATCTTGACTATTAGTACACATAAATTCGCTGAAACTATATAAATATTTGCGTCATCTGTACTAATATTATAAAGAGGAATGATTTGTTTGTTTGTTTGTTTTTTTTTTTTTATTGCCTAGATGTGTGGACGATCTCACAGCCCACCTGGTGTTAAGTGGTTACTGGAGCCCATAGACATCAGCGTAAATGCGCCACACACCTTGAGATATAAGTTCTAAGATCTCAGTATAGTTACAACGGCTGCCCCACCCTTCAAACCGAAACACATTATTGCTTCATGGCAGAAATAGGCGGGGCGGTGGTACCTACCCGTGCGGACTCACAAGAGATCCTACCACCAGTAACAACAGTTTGTTTGTTTGTATTGAATAGGCTCCGAAACTACTGAATCGATTTGAAAAATTCTTTCACTGTTTGGAAGTTACACTATTCCCGAGTGAGATAGATAGGCTTTAATCTTTTTTTTAAAAAAAACTAGGGATCTTTACCAAAACTCTAATGTAACCCAAGGTGTAAAAAAATCACCAAAATATTCTTTACATAGCGTGACCTGCGAAAGCTATTGATGATAGGATAAAATAATGTACTACGTCTTTGTAGAACATATTATTATGTACAAAAAGTGGGACAGCATATGTTTAACTATTATAGTTATGCCACAATAAGTGTTCTTTTGTTTAAAAAAAAAAAACAACGTCATATATCGTTGAAATTTTTGTTAAAGACCCAAGCCGAGCCGGAGCGAGCCGCTAGTATCTCATAAAAATACGTTCATGGTTCTTTAACAGAAAGTTTCTTTACATAGCCAAGAACTAAATTTATCACAGCGTATGAAAACCTTGGTGATTTATAGACGAAAATCTTAAAAACAGATACACATACTTACTAATGTTTTGGGTATTACTGGGATTACTGTATTTAATGGCGGTACTGATTCCTTCGAGCTCGCAAGGAAGCAATTCCTTACAGTTCAAAGCGTAAAACGTAGATAACCCAATACAATTGAGATATAGACCTCATGTTTCAAGGTCGGTGACAACGTTCTCTTGTGCCTACGGACTCCGGTAATCACTTAAGCCCAGATAGGTCGGAAAATAAATAAATAAAATCCTTATATTAAATTTCGATACATCAATTATTAATATCTGGTATAATTTTCATTTCTTTTAAAATTAACATTTAAGCAATAAAAAAAATTTAAAAAATAATGATCGTAAATGATCTTAAAGTTGAAGATCCTATCTATTCTAATAAAAACACTTTCCAAAGATACTATTATGACGTTAACGTTTGGCAAACACAAAAACAGATTACAGATATTTTAAATGAAATCAATAAGCTATGTGTAAGCCAATTTAGCTTTATATTCGCGCAAAAGAAAATACGCAAAATGCACGAAACACGTTTTCTTGATGTAAGTCTTCCTGGAGCACGGTCGTTGTACAACTGAATTATAAACTTGATTTCACACTGGAAATTATTCAATATCACTGTATTGTTTTTTGTTTTAAAATTAAAATTAAATTGGCGCTGGACGGGACATATGATGAGAGAAAAGAAAGAGAAATTGACCAGAATAATAACGGAATGGTACCCTAGAGAAAACAGAAGAACTAGGGAAGACAGCCAAAGCGATGGGAAGACCACTTGAAGCAAGTAGCTGGACCAGGATGGTTACGTACAGCAAAGGATAGAAGCAAATGGAAGTCCTTAGAGGAGGCTTTTGTCGAAAGACAAGCTGTTAAGAGGAGAGATAAGCCGAATGCCGAGATATGTTTTAGTATAAGTTAATGTTATAGTTTTCTTACCTCTATTGATATTATTTTTATGTTTAGTTAAATAAATTAAACTCTAAGAGCAATAAAGGCTTATTTATTTTATTTTATTTATTTATTTATTATTGTTTTTTTATCACGAACCAAGTGATGTTTGATGGAGTCCGTTATTTATGTCCGGATTTTGGGGCTTCACTATAACTACATAGCATAATTCAAAGTCGCTTTCTCTGTCCCTATATCCCTATGTATGCTTAAATCTTTAAAACTACGCAACGGATTTTGATGCGGTTTTTTTAATAGATAGAGTGATCGAAGAGGAAGGTTTATATGTATAATAACATCCATTAAATAGTAGAGAAATCAATAATAAATTACAGTTTCCGAAGCGAAGCGAGGGAGGGTCGCTAGTAAAAAATAATTTACAGAGATATTAAGCTGGCCGTATGGTAATGTGCCAATCAAGACGGCCACTTCTGTAAGGTACTTAGTTCAAAGAGTGTCATACCATATATTTTTTTCTAATAAGTGTAGATATTATAACTCTTATTACCTACTCAGTGAAAAGGTACTATTCTGGATTTCATACTTCTTATGAATATTCAAACTAGAGGTCCCGCAGTAGTCGAAATTCGACTATAATTAATTGGAATTGTAAGTTAGTACACTATTATGTTTTATACTTCTATAATTACAAATTTCGCCAAAGTTACACTTTAAAAATTATTAATAAAGACAAACAATATTTAATCTATTCTCAATTTGATCACAGACGTCAAGAACAAAAGTTTGACAATAAATAATATTATGCATGCGTGTGTGCGTCAAATACATGGTATGTAGTGTGTGTAATGTTTTTTTTATTGATTTAATGCATCTTTTACGCATTACTTAAAAAAAAAAATTACATTGTGCACTTCTTCTCTATATTCTCTATAAGTGTGGGAAATTTCATACTCCCTCCGTCCGCGCAATTTTCGTAAAAAGGGATACAAAGTTTTTGCTTCACGTATTAATATTCAAATAATCTTACTTTTCTAATTTCAAGATGTTGGCA